GACAGCGCACAGGGCCGCAGAGAGCCCACAGGCCGCAGCGGCTAACACGCGCAGGCCGGTCGTGCAGCACACGCCTAGCGCGTGCGGGCCGGCAGCTGGGCGCGAGGGCGCAGCTGCTCCGCGGCATGTGCAGTCTCCCCAGAGCGGGGATCAAACCTGTCCTCTTCACTGGCACGGAGATTCTTCACCACTGGACCGGCACGGAAATCTCCTAAAATTACTTTTCAGGACATTAAAATGACTTTTTCTGGCTCCTCTCTCTTCTTGTCACCTTCGGCTCATTTCCACAAACCTAATTCCCCACGTGGTCTCTTTCACCGATGTGCAGGAGGCTCTCGCAGATGCTTCTGTGCAGCGATCCTTTGCTCATAACTCTAGCAAGCGTTCCTATTCACCCTTCAATCTCCAGCTCCAGCCTCTCACTTCCCAAACACGCTGGACTCCACAGTCTAGGTTCAGTGCCTATTCTCCAGACTGGTGCACACATGCAGTGTACTTATCTCTATACTGAATTTATCACAGTATTAGAAGTGCTTATTTATCCATGTTTCTCCATTAGACAATATACTACAGCTGATAAGGGCAGGGATTTGCCTTTTCACTCTTTAACCTTATTACATAATTTAAGTTTGGTAAAAAGTTTTTGAAAACAAGTTAATGACCTAGTCTTGTTTTTTGTCTTCTCCTTGTCTCACTTTACAATGAACTGTGTACAAATCTTCTAGGAAACAGTCTCTAGCAACTTCTCTAGCATTAACATTTTATGATTTTTTTTTAAGATGCAACTGGTAATTCTTATTCTTTTTTTATAGTTGGGTTTTCTAACTCAACATTTTAACAGTTAACAATATAAGGGAAGGAACTAAAAAAAAAAAAAACAAACCAATATAAGGGAAGGAGCTAACATTTGTTGAGTACTTATGATGGGAAAGGTACCCGCCAGGCCTTTTTACCTATTATATGTTATTTAAATCCACACAAGATGGGCATCATCCTACCAATTCCATATACAGAGTCTCAGGAAGAGCTAAGTCATATGACTATAGGCACGGGGGCCAGGAATCAAATCCACATTTATTTGTTGATTCTGCTGTATCCCACTGTGTTGTGTCACAAAATTCAGCACCATAATATGGAGTGGATATAATAAAAGATCACATTTGTTTCAATAACATTCAGGAAGCAAATATATATACTTATACAAATAATGCTAAGTAATGAATCGTGTAGTCTTTCGAGAGCACTGAGTACCCACCATACTTAGAATATATTAGGTCATGTTTTTTGAGTGAATGCTGGATCTAATATGTAATATATGTTTATATAATATACATGTATATACATAAAATAGGGTACAATGAGTTGGAAAGCTCTTCAGTTAAAGGTTAATTTGCTAATAATTAACTATTTGGAGTTGCGGGGGGAAAAAAGAAGTCAAAGAAACTTAGAGCAGAAGTTTTAAACAGAGCTTCCCTGGTGGTCCAGTGGTTAAGAAGCCACTTGCCAGTGCAGGGGACCTGGGTTCGATGAAGGTTCCAGGTGCCATGGGGCAACTGACCCTGGGTGCCCCAACCACTGAGCTCTAGGGCCTACTGGTTGCAGCGAAAGAGCACTGCAACTACAGAGGAGCCCCCCACTCACCACAACTCGAGCAAAGTCTGCACAGGCCTGACCCAGCACAGTCAGAAATAAAGTGAATAAACATTTAAAACGTTTTGTTCTTAGTTTTCAATAGTCTTTAGCAAATGCTGAAGGAGAACGCAATGGCACCCCACTCCAGTCCTCTTGCCTGGGAAATCCCATAGACGGATGAGCCTGGTGGGCCGCGGTCCATGGGGCCGTGAAGAGTCGGACACGACTGAGCGACTTCACTTTCACTTTTCACTTTCTTGCACTGGAGAAGGAAATGGCAACCCACTCCAGTGTTCTTGCCTGGAGAATCCCAGGGACGGGGGAGCCTGGTGGGCTGCCGTCTGTGGGGTCGCACAGAGTCGGACACGACTGAGCGACTTAGCAGCAGCAGCAGCAAATGCTGATCATGAAAAATACTGAAAGCTTACTTGATATGGCAGTTTCTCAAAAAGTTAAACAGAGAATTACCATATAATCCAGCAATTCTACTTCAGAATATACCCAAAGACTTGAAAGCAGGGACTTGAACAAGTAAATATATGTATGCTCATAATAGCTGAAAAGGGGATGCAACCCAAAACACCCACTGACAGACAAAATGCGGTGCATACATATGATGAAGTGTTAAAAAGGAAGGAAATGTGACCTATGCTACCACATGGATGGAATTTAATAAAATAAGCCAGTTACAAAAGGACAAATATTGTATAATTTCACTTATCTGAGATACCTAGAATAATCAAATTCCCAGAGACAACAGAACAGTGGTTGTCACAGGCCGAGGGCAGGGACAAATGAGGAATTACTGTATAAGGTATACGGAGCTTCAGTTTGGGAAAGATGAAAATTCTGGAGATAGATGGTAGTGATGGCTGCATAACAATGTGGATATACTCAATGCCACTGAATTATAACTCAAACCATAGTAGAAACCAATATTTGAAGTCATGACATGTTAAAGTGAAAGAAAAAATATAATTTTGTTAACACATATATGTCAATACATATCTAATGTCTCAAATGGTGTACAGTCACTAGTCATTGTGTGTTCATTTGTGTCCGACTCTTTGCGACGCTATGGACTGTAGCCTGCCAGGCTCCTCTGTCTGTGGAATTTTCCAGGCAAGAATACTGGAGTGGGCTGCCATTTCTTTCTCCAAAGGATCTTCCCGACTCAGGGATCTAACCCACATCTCTTGCATCTCCTGTATTGGTAGGCAGATTCTTTACCACTAGTGCCACCTAGGAAGCCCAATTTCAAATATTCTACCAAGTTAATTTAACAAACATTTATTGTCCCATTGTCTGACCACATGCTTAGAATCTGGATTTTGAAAATTTGGTAACCAAAGATAGACCACAGTCTTCTAGATGTCTCCTGTTCAATATCATGTCCACTAACCATATGTGGCTATTTAAATTCACTATAATGAAACATTCAGTTCCTCAGTCACACTAGCCGCATTTCAAACACACAATGGTCACATGTGACTAGTGGCTATTGTATTGGGCAGCGTATATACAATGAATATTTCCATTACCCCAGGAAGTTCTACTAGAAGTTCTATTGCTTTTTTAGATTATACTGCCAAGAGTATATGAGAAACTCCTTTCGTAAATAACTGAGGTGTGAGAAGCAGGGTGGGTCAATCGAGAATAAACACAAAGAGCCAATTACACTGATCTATAGAAAAAACAACTAGCTGGTGGAATGATTCACTTTTTAACTAGCAGCATCACAGAGCTACAGAGAGCCATCCTTTCTCATCATAGCTTGCACAAACTTTAATGATGGGAAAGGTTCAGCTGTACTGACTTGGACACACAAGTCTTAAAAAAAGGAACAGGACTCCCACATTGGGAGACATAGTATTAAGTACATTTTCATTGCAACTCTACAGAATATAATGGAATTTCAAAATTAAAACTACTCAGATTTTATAGCAACATAAAATAACATATGCTCGTATGTTAAGTAAACAGGACATGACAAAGCCAAATATATACTGAGTCCAGTCACAGAAGTAGAAATATGGGTAATAACTACAAAGGAATACAAAAATGCAGAAGCAGGTATTAAATAATTATGGACATTAATAGTACTACTATTCAAACTTGGTTAAAACAATAAAAAGGAAGTAAATGGGCCTATTCAATTCTATTCTAATAATGAGTTATTCACTGTTTCGTAAACAATTGCATGCTTGCTCCAACCTCAATTTCATACATGGAACTCTGTGTATATTTTGTGTTATGCAGTCAGTTGTTGCTCTAATAACGTAAAATGTCCCCTAGAAGGAACATTTTCAAGGAACTGAAAAATTGTGTCTTTTAGAGCCCATCTGATCCCGTTCAAAAATAAACTAAAAAACAGCAATTTCAACCTATGTGATTTAAGATAACTGCATCAAATGAGCGGTGCTTTTTTTCTTTTTTTTTTTTGAGCAGTGCTTTTGTTTGTGTACCAATCTTCTTTATCTAGCACATAAACCAGGTGATGATACATGCTGGCAAATTTATTTAAATATGTACTTTCATATATTGTCAACATGATAAGGTCATAAATAGAATTATAAAGAAATACATCAAGTGCCAGTGAAAAACAACAAACCTTACTTACTACAAATGATGTTCCCTTTACAGTGATATGCAACCTTCCCTATGAATCAAAACTCCCTGGTTTCTTTAATAATGTTCTCTTCTAAAGTTGTACAGACATATAAGGTTTTATCTGTTCAATTTCACTAACATACATAATCTTTGTATATGAGGTATGTTAACTAGAAGAAGAATAATTAAATTAAAATACTTTATAAAATTTAAGGCCATACACAGACTTTTTGGTGAATACTGTATTTGTCAAAACTGTGTTTTAAGTTTTACTTAAGAAAATCAATGACAAGGATAAAACAATTCTCAATAACGTCCAGCACCAAGTGTGATGATGTAGGAAAGCTGCAGACTTTATTCTTAACTTCTATTTGGTTATATGTGTACTTATACATAAATATGTATTTATCACATTTAAATAGATTGATGCCTATAACCTTATTTCTTTAACAAATTATTTTCCTAGTTCGTTAAACTAGTCAATAGCCTTAAAGGTTATACAAGTAATAAATATGATTATTGTCCCCTTAATGGGGTCAAATTGAAAAAGTTCTCATTTTATATTGAGTCAAACATTTTGTGAGAGGGCAGTTCTGGGTTCAAGTCCCAGCTAGGTCACTAACTTAAAGGTTATCCTGCTTACATTACTTTATTCAGCTGGTTTCAGACTCATCATCAGTAAAATGAAAGCGTGGGGAAGATGGCATTTAACAGCTTCTGGTCTAGAGATACATGTTAGACTCAATCAGGTAACCTACCTCTCTCAATACAGGATCAGTTATTGAATTCAGATTAACGGCTCCCTCATAGGTCAGGTAATAGAATACATTGAGCGCTCGAACAGCCTCTGGTCCTTGCTGTTTATAGCCAAAAATGAGATCAATCCACTGGTGAAGCTGGCAGGAAACAAATTCACTCTCCAGGGCCTGAAAAAAAATGTAGATTTTATTATTATGCTGAATTCTATTTTTAAAAGATACAGAGAAATTTAGAATAAGCATTAAAGTTTAACTCTAAACTGTGAACCAAGTTATTCTGAAGTCCTTATTTTCCAGTAGAATTTGTTCTCCTTTGTTATAATTAGAGACTCTGCAGCACTTGTCACACTGAACTACAAGACTGCTTATATTTCAGGATTCATCTCCGTGGACTGTAAGCACATTGTGAAGACCAGGACTGGGTCTATCTTGGTCACATTTGTAACTCAGGACCTGGCAGGTACTCAATTTATGTTTCAAAGAAAGGAGGTCATACAATGTAAAGGCTAGTTTGAAACAGCAAATGTGAAAATATTAAACACTGACTATTCACTTGAAATATTTACAGTTTTTCTAGAATTAAAACATTTTGCTGCCTACTGCAACAACCATAACCAAATTATTTGGTTATTTCAACCGAGTTTTTATACCAACAGATTAGATCTCGGGAGTGATCCTTGTAATTACTGGATTATTATTCTATGTAATAATATCAAATTGGACTGAATATTTGATGCTATAAACATAACAGTGTCCAATAAATAATGAATGAACATAATCAAGTTTTCAGTAGAAATGCTGGGCTCAAGATCACTTCCAATTCATCACCACATTCCCAGAGTTACAAGCACTGTACCCAAAACACGATAGGTGACAATAAATGTTTGCTGAACTTAATAAAGTTTAAAAACCTAAAGAGTTTTCACAAGCGGAGACTTTTTTTTTTTAAAGTATCCATTCGTGTATTATTTAATGCTGTTAAAAATTATTCCAACATAAAACCATTATGGGTTAGTCTATCAATAAATAATGTTGTTTGAATAACAGAGCTCTCAAACTCTGAAGTTTAATTTGAAGTGTACCAAGTTACATCAGGTAATGTATCACACTGAAATTCTTATTTTCAGAGTCATAAGTGCATGACTGGGATGCATCTAGGTGTGGCTTAATGCTATGCTATCAATATTATGAAAAGAAAACTGCTGGTTTTAAAACAAAATTGACCAGCTTGTCTAGCAAGCAACCAATAAGATATATAAATAATCTCATGACAAAAGATGTTCCAGAAGTTCACAGGTGTACACTTGTGTAGATATGTGCTTTATTAAAATGAGGGCCAATGAATAAGAAAACTATTTATAGATAAATTCAAATAATATATTTCCTTTAACTAATAACATTTAACATGGCTTCATAATATATTATATATCATAAAGTGTAAAAATAAAACTCTAGACAATTCTCATATTTCAAAGTATACCTGGAATGAAATAAGCCTTAAACATATTTAGCTAGTTTCAATGTAAAAGTTACTGTTTAAAGCATCTCTTATAAAACTCACTATACTTATAAATTTAGTAAACAGCCAAGAGAGCACAAAACTTCCTCCTATTTTATTTGACATAAGAGAAGGGATTGTAATAACTTTCAGTAAATTCCTATTTTAAGCACATGGATTTGAAATTAATCTGAAAATCCAGGAACTACTGATGCAAGTTGCACACAAAAACTGATACATTTGTTTCATTAATTTAGGCCTTGCCTAGTGATGGGAGTGTGGGGTGGGGGTGGAGTACATGTTTAAAGTGACACATAAAAACAGCAATTGTCTTAATTTGTGTGCAGCGCTCTCTACACAAAAGCCCTAAATATGTTCAAATTAGAGCAAGCTGCTTGATTGTCACTGCGGTCTCATGTCACATTAATGCATGACAAACATTAAACCATACACTTAAATGGCAATTTATATCATTTAAATGTTTACTGCCAGACTAGCTCATCACTCATTTAAATGTGACTTTCTGACAGCTAATTTCAGTTAATTTTCTCCAATTCACTTAATTAGAACTTTTAATCAGGGAAGGACCTGTACATATCTTTGAGCTTACATCCTTTTTAGTTGTTATTCAAAATCTGAGTTAATAAGCTGCTGAAAAGCTCTATGATAATAGATGAGCAAGTAATATCTCTGAGTCTACAAAAATGTGTGAATCTATGAAGCAAACTCACAGTAGGTACTGTAAGGAAGAACCTACACTTATTTATGTAAATAATACTCTCGCCAGTAGTTTAAATAAAAAACGTTTAGTTCATATATACACACTATTGAAACGATAAAAAAAAACCCTGCATCTAAGCTAATTAAAAATTAATGATTTTAAAATTGTTTAATAAGATAAAACAGTCAGGAGTCTCCTGAGTGTCGGTGGTGTTGTGATTTCAGACTATAAAATTCCAGAAGGCTCAGCAAATGATGCAGTACAAATTTTCTCAATATTAAAGCTCTAAAAACTAGGGCAATTTTATTTGATGTGTTATCAAACAGAATTGTGAGCCTATTTAATGCTGATTACTTTTTTACGCACATTCAAAATGGTGAAGTTGGTTAGATTTAGATGCTTAAACACCACATCAAAACGTTAAGCAAAGACGCTGAAATGACAGGCACTGTGCTTGCATCATGGCAGAAATATGCATGCAGAAGTGGCCACAGTGTCGTGGCTCAGGCCCCCTACCCTGTGACACTGGCCGGTCCTTAGGGGGCTGCCCCGAAATTTACCGCGTTATCGGCAGAGTCTCCTCCAGAGGTTGACACACACGTTTCTTTTATGAATAGATTTTAAGCACATTTCAAAAAGCTAAAGCAGTCTTCAGTTAATTCTCACAACAGAGCTTTTAAAAAGGAACGCACAAGTAGAACTACCATGGAAATTTGGGAATTCCCAAAAATTGAAAAATCATTTTAGTACAAAGTCAGTTGAGGACTTTTACCAGTGATACCAGTGAGTGACAACTGCCTAACCAATACTGTATGATAATAAACAAATAAACAAGTGCAGTTACTGAAGACTTAAGGACAAGCAGGAAGAATTAAGGGTAAAAAAACACAAATAATTCAAAATGGAAAACCCTGGGAATACATTTTATAACTTCTGTTTTTGAGATTCAACATTAAATTAAAAATTCTTTAATTTCTCTTTCATAAGATTCTTAAAGATACTCTTTATATAAATACTGGTTTATATATACACTTTGCATCACAAAAAATATAAAAATATGCCAGTGGAATGCTAAGCATCTGAGATTTTTCAAAGCCTTTAGGACAGACAGTCCTCATTAAGACTGGAGTTAAATACGGTTTGCAGCTAGGGGATAGTAACATTCTTCCCATGCTGCTCTCAAACCTAGCCAATCAATTGTTAGCACTCCCCTAGCAGGCTAGACATCATTTACATCCAATGTGTGCTCTGAGTAAAATTTGTAAAAAAGAAAATCCACTAAAATGTCCAACACAATACAATAATATTCAACTCATCTGAGTTATTATAAAATAAATCAGTAACTAATGTTCAATTGTTAAGGTTCAAATAAGACTATGAAAAGACTACTGTATGAAGGCTCACATGAATTGTCAGTCCAATCCAGGGGGACTCATATTAGTCTTGACAAACTGTCTTGGGGCTGATATCTGTTTTTTTAATGAGATCTATTAAGCAGAGTCTAAAACACTTGAGATATGCTAAAAAGTACAGTATACAGATGTCAAATACAAACACTTATTAGTAACTTTCATTTGTTTGGTCCACATGCAGAACATCAACAAATTAAAGGCTTAATATTATAAAGAAAATAGTAAATTATTCATAAATAACTCATTTGTGTAGCCCTGTGTCAGAAATAATTATAACATATATGAATATGTGTCTAACAATAAATCTCACTGAAAGATCGCAATCTATGTTTTCCTGAAACTAACCCATTAAGGAAATGAATTATTTATTGCTAAAAAAATGTTACACAAAATTATTCTTGTCTCTTATAGTGGCGTCAAATAATACAGTAACTTAGGTAGAAATCATTTGCTTTTTCAAAGAAATTCTAAGCTATTTGAGAATAAAAATTCTAAAATATAAAGCAATCATATGTTTAGTAATCTAATCATGCTCTAGAAATACTCTAGCAATTGCATTTTCAAAAAATCAAATTTTTTTCTAATGCAAAAGATAGGTAAAATCAAGAAAACCAATTTCAATGAACAAAAGAAGTTATTAGATAATTGTTTACCTCATGATCAGGAAACCTTAATTGTGTATTATTTGTGTTTCTCTTATTTGTAATTCCCAGATTAATGTTAATATGTACTTACACTTTTGCTAAATCTTCTCATATCATGCAATTTTTGAAAAGCAGCTAAATAAGAGCTACTGGTATCTACAGGATAAATAATTTTTATAAAAATCAAATAAGCAGGTCAAATTTTATTTAAATATAGAGATAATTATATAACTAGAAGGAAATAGGTTTCTGCAGCCCAGGTACACATTTCTGCATCCCTATCTCATTATTTCTAATCCCAGGCTTTGAGAAGGCCTGATTCTGTTCCAATATATAAAATATCATAGCTGTAAGTTTCAAATAAAATAAAAATCACTAACTAACTCTCTTGACTTGATATGCATTTAATTAAAAGGTGCATTTAATCATATTGTAATAGTTAAAGCATAAGAATTAGTTTTGGGACTTTCTGTACATGTAATTAAGAGTCTTAATTCATTTGAGTGTAGATAGTACTAAGTTTCAAAGGAGTTAATGTTTGGATTGGCAAAAATGTTAATATACAACATTATGAACTTGGAATTTTGAAGTATTTTTCATGTTAAATACATGTAATAAGGCCTTCTTATAACACACACACACATATGCACACACACACACACACAAACAAGATTTAAAATGAACTGGTCTGTTATGTTTGCATGTGCTGGATTTCAAACACTAGTGGTAATGTTTCCTTAACATTGATATATGACCTTTGTAATTTACATTGAAGAAAGCTGTTTTTTTCAGCCTAATTAGAACTGTTTCAAATTTTCCTGCTAAATATATGATATAAAGTCCTTTCAACTTTTTTATTCTAGAGTTTCTTTCCATGTCAACTTTGTTCCAAT